ATTCTAATAAATGGAAAATATGCACTTCTAAGAATGAGCTAGAGCGCCTAGGCGTTATAGAAGAAAAAGGTGGGTTGCTAGAAGTAGACTTCCCCCTAGGACAAAATTCTTGCTTAAATTCCCAACGACCTTCTACTTAGCATTGTGCTATATAGCGAGCTATTAAACGTAGAAGTTGGAGGATGAGATATCTTCTCTCTTTATTTTTTATATTTTTATTAAAGGAGGATGAGATATATGGTTAAGAAAATAGGTCGTAGATTTAGAGATTCCATAATGTTTTGACTTGTTGGTATTATGAAAGTGCCAACTTTCATTGAGTTATTTTAGCTTATTGTTTTCAAATTCATAAGTTCTATTTTTTTTTACACACTTGTGTTGGTTTCTTCCGAACATTTTGTCTTGTTAAACTAAAATGTAATTCTCCTAATGCAATGAAATTTGTTATGGAAATGAATCATTGTTTTTCTTAACATCTTTTGGTTACACGTTCCTTTTCTTTTGAAATGAATCCAAAATTTTCAATCATTAGGGTTCCTGTTATATGGTCATCTTTAAACTTTCATATATTAGTATCATATTGCCTCTATTATGAAGTATGCTATCATCTCGATGTATTTTTTGTTGCATTGTATTGTTAAACATCCTATAAGCATGACAGTGGTAATGGTCACGAGCCATATTACAGTTTGGAACGAGAAGAAGAAGAAGATTTGATTGAACGCCATGGTGGACGAATAACTGGATCTATCAGCCAAAGAAAAAAAGTTAACTCATTCTTGTACTCTTTTTACTTATCCAAAAAAGAAAAATGAACTTGCACACTTTTTGTGATTTGGTTGGCTATTCAATTCTCTGTGTGGAGACAAATTATGGACATTTATGTTTGCAGAATTATCTACTATTTGATGAAGATATTGGGTCGAAAATCTTCCAAAGCCAAAGAGCTGGGGTATTTTTCCTTTAGTTTATAATTGAAATGAAATCTATACTCACTCTTGTATCTTCATTTACCTCTTTTAAATTTTAATTTTCTCTCCCTTTTTGTAGAACTGCTTTGCTCACTGAGGATGGTCGTTTATTTGACATGATTCGTACATCATCTTGCAATAAAACTCTTCCAAGACAAGAAAAACTCATAGAGAAAGTACAATCAATACAAGCAAAGAGCAAGTTTGCCTACTTATCTGATTGGAATACTGATGACACTAGGATTGTTGTTGTCAAACTTTTTAGGTGCCAATATTTCTGTTTGGGTTATTCTTGTTAGGTTGCAAATTGTTTATGCAATCATTTTCCGATGTTGTTAAACTTCATCAAATTTTCATTGAAATCTTTTTAGTAACTCATAATTATTTTATTTTTMAAATCTTCTAGATGTAGTGTGTCCTCGTCAAGAGGGGTCTATAGAGTGTCGATACTATGTGCAAAAATATATACGAGGAAAGGTGCAGAACTCTATTACTCCAATAAATGAACTTGTACATATTATTATCTATCTTTATGTGTT